GATGATCATTCTTCACTTTCATCTACAACCGCAGTTCATATATGAATTATTTCATATATACTTCACATCAAAAAATATTTAGTTGTGTACAGTGACCAAAGTAGCCAATGAGCTTTCGAGTATATTTAAAGGGTTATAAATGTTATTTCGCCTCACTTACAACTGTGCCGTATTGGACGGTAAATCACGTGGCACTTGCTTAATTCCTGTATACGTTACAATGGTCCGGGTTTGGCCAAAAGGCTTGCAGGTACAATTAACCAGATGAACATCTTCCAAACAACACAAACCAAACGTCACAAACCAACCCACCAACACGAACGGTGTCAGAATAACAACATGCCTTACAGGCTGGGCTAGAACTGCTTTTCCCATCTGCTGAGAGAAATCGTAAATGCATTTTCTGAATTATGTCCACGTTCGAGCCAATTCCTTTGTTTACGCTAAATCCTATAACAATAAAATGTTAACAGCAGAAAAGCAGAGCACAAATGCAAAATTTCATTTAACAAGAAAGGAGTCTTTAGTGGCGGAAGGGGCAGAACCTTTCGAGTTGGCCACTGCCACAGTAAATATAACTAACAAAGAGTATAAACTGTTCAAGATAAATAAGCACAGTCATTAGAGACTAAACAGAAGAAGATGTAGCCTTTTCTGCCAGGCAGAATGGTTGAAAGATTAAATTCCTCAAGCTATTGCAAACGTGATAGTCCAAGATTACGTCTCCTTTAGGATCAGTGAATGGTGAACAAGTATTGGACAGTTCATAGTCGGTCAACGCGGAAATGCAAGACCTAATGAGAGTCTTCGGGCTTCCAACGACTTTTAATCTACTGCTGCGACTAACCTTAAGAACATACAGTACAAATCTTTTAAGGTGGCCGAACACAGTTTTGATACCTGTGTTTCATTCTTCTTTTTCTCCAAACTAGACTTTTAAGTGCTTTTGATGGTGACAATTTTCGTTCTTTTAAATTAATTTGTCCTAAGTGTCGCTGTGTTAATATTTTCTTTGTCTGTACTTGTTAAGTTGATTAGCATATTTTAGATTGTATTTGTGTTATTTAGATTATTTGATTTGTAGTTTAGTCGGGTCAGGGAAGGGTTTTTTTCGGGATATTTTTTAGGGGGTTGGGTGTGGGTGTATTAACCAAGTAGGGGACTTATGTCCTATTGTTAAGTACCTGCACTTGTACGAATCCCTAAATAAATAAATAAATAAATAAATAAACCCCTAATACTTTGGTCACTAAAAATGACAACGCGCAATTTAACAACACAAAATTCAGATTTTTGATAGCCAAGCAGACGTATGTGCCGTTGTCATGGCAACAGGAATAAATATGAACAGGCATTTACAATTGATTTTGTTTGTTTGCAGAAAATCTGGTCGTTAGATTTTCTTTTTCATTTGCGTGCACCAAGATTGTAACAATGCTCACAATCTAACACTACTTTAATAATAGTTTAACAGAGAGACCTTATAGAAGGCTAACTGGAATATCTAGAATTGCCTCTGTTAAATTTATTTATTTTTTTTTTTTCAATATTCCAATTATTTGTTTTCTAAAGTATTTTCGTGCCAAAATTCGTGAAATTCTAATGAGTGGTTCTCGAGAAATAGCGTATTTCCAAGAAAGCTATTCCGCATTCAATTGCAATTTTCTGCCTTACTACGCATGCGCCATCGTTACCTTTTCTAACATACGTTTTTAATAAAAGAGTAAATCCATAAATACACTGTGTTCAATTATGAAGAGACAAGAAGATATTTTAGATCTTATAACCGCGCTTTTAGAATGTAACTGTTTTCTTAGCACTACAGTCGCAACGCAGTGCACATTCCAAAGCAGTCCTTGATGATTCGTTGATTGCTGTAGACACCATATCAATTGATCAACACAAACTGTATTATTGAACCAGCGCTCTTAGCCTTTGTAAAATCTATGATGACGTAATGGTCTTAATCTGAAAGTTCGCTCGGGACATGCCCACGAATGATACGAAAAGGACACGAGTATCACGCTATTAGTAACGCTATTAATAAAAAACTTTCTTCCTTAAAAGTCGAATTTAATTTGTTTGTGCTATGTGTAAAGGGCAAGAAAGTAGTCACGCGCGTCACACAATCCGAGGTTTACGCTATCCACGGTTATTTTAGAATGGTTGTTTTTTTCCCCTAGCATTGACATAAACGCTGCAAGTTCTCGCAAGCTCTTGTTTCCTTCAGATCTCTTAACTCGCTTCGACGAAACAGCCAAATAATTCACTTCAATTGCCTAAACCAACAAGAAATACTCGCAAAATTGCAAATATATTAATTACCGTCGCTTCTGGCGCTATAAACTTGCAAGTAAACACAATCTTATATGTCACGTTGCGAAAGTGAAAGCTGCAACGTCAGCGCATTCTATGGCTGACGTAATACCGTTTTTAAGCGTATTTATCATTCCCTTCAAATCCAACGCTTCGATAAAACCAAAAGAAAACGTATTTTACACACAATAAAGAAAATAATATCTGTAACATTGTCCGTGTATTAATTTTTCAACAGCTTTTGGCGAATAAGCATCACAGGTTGCGCGATTCAAAATTTGGCCGAGAAAAAGTTTCCGTCTGGTCACCGACGAAACTAAAAAAATAAAATAAAATAAACCCCGTGCAGAACACGAACCGCACTGGGCCCATGGCCGCGCGGTTAAAAAAGCACAGATAGTGAGGGCATTGACCAAATAAAATGATCACTGTATCGACAACATGTTTGCTTTGTGTAATCCTTGTGCGCGTGCTGAATCGCATTAGCAAGAGCGCGAGCAGGAATTGTGTTTGGCAACCTCAAAGCAGAGAAGCTAGAAAAATCGACCAACAAAACTTAGTGCAAGGTGAAATATGTGAAGGCTGACCTTGACTAACCTTTTCGTTGACTGATAGCTAGCCATGGATGATCACGAGACAAACACAAGACATACTAAAAATTCCAGTTAACTAATGGACAAATTTACCTTCTAAATACTTTTCTCGCTGGCAAGCTACAAAGCTGGTGTCTTTTGTCTACACCTTAATTTTGGATGACATCAGGTAAAATTAAAACTTGGACAAAGTTTTCACCAGCGCCGAATTGCTTTTCGGTATTGTGATCTTTCCTAATCTTCCTAGACTGCGAGCTTCTCTATTTCGCTCAAAAAAGCTCGGAGACGGCAAACTGAGCTAACGTGCCTCATATGCAAGCGGCGAGCCTGCTCGTTTGCTCATTGTTTGTTTTTTGGTTGTTCTTGTTGTTGTTTTTTGTTGTTGTTGTTGTTGTTGTTTTTGTTTGTTTGTTTCTTTTTGTTGTTGTTGTTCTTTCGAACGGATGCTATAGCGAGAGACAGGCTGCGTCTCTTTCAAAGCCTAGGTTATGATTACACAAAGAGAAAGATACTTACCTCAAGTTGGGTAGAAAGAACAGCCAAGATGAAGAAACAGTCTAAAGGGAGGGTTTCAAGGTTCAGCCCATGTCTCTAAATCAAAATACATTTACTCGCTTCTAATCAATTTTACCGCTTTAAAAACCCCACTCAGATGTAATTCAGTAGTCACATCCTATAATTAGTCGTGGCAGTATGAATTTAGTGTTAAACCGTACGATTTATTCTACGGTTGATGATTTTACGGCTATTTGCATGCGAAATTAGGTAACTTGCTTACGGTTGGTTCATAAACAATGAAAACTGGGCCTGGGCCAAAAAGCGTGCACAGGCGAATAAATAATACAGACATGCGCCGAACCGTGAAAACCTCCATTTAATGTCGTTATGGGTCCGTGAACAATGATTTATGAACTTACTAGGGGAGCAGCTTAATAAACCGGAAAGTTTGCCACTATAAAAATGCTCGGGTTTGGTAATTCTTTTCTTGAATGATCCAATGATTACGATCTGAAGATTCCTATGGCACATGATTGGGAAGGAACTAAGGAGAGAAGAGTCAATCTTTTTACAGTTGTCTGCTAAATTTTGAATTCTCTTCGTCGTATGACGTTATGACATAATTAGTTTGGGTTTCGAGACTAGCAACTTACATGCTCTGTTTTGCATTCTCTATTTTCCAATTGCCCATAATTCACTCTGTTTCCTCCAAGAACTTTGCTTAAACTACTGCTGTGAAATGCTTTTTGGGGTTCTGTTTTTCACAACAATAAAAACAAGTTAATGCTGTATATCACTTTGAATTGAATAGCTTTAGTTCAAATTAACAAAAAGTGCTAAGTGGCATCTTTAGAGACGTTTCGGGAAAAACCCCTTCATCAGTCGCAAATGAAGCATTAACCAAGCGTTATTTCGCAACAATACTTTATGCAAAATTGGGGGAAACACAGTGCATTATGGGCAATTGGAAATAGGGAGTGTGCTTTCAAACAAGCTCAGTTCTCTTCTCATTATTGTCAAACTAGGTTATTATCTTGTTTTTGACGGTCACCCTGAAACAAGAACGGTTTGCAAAGTTTCGGTTTTCTTGTCACATTTCAACGAACTCTTTTAGGGAACTTTAGTTAGCTTAAGCACAGACAGAGACCGACAATAGAATACATTACATTACTGGTTTATTTATTTTTGAATAAACCAGTACTGTATTGTATTTCCAGCTGAAAATCGAATTTTCTTCTTTTGGCGTGTATGATCGGCTTTTCATTAAACTTATCAAGTCATAAATGGTACAATGGCAGTATCGAAACTCAGTGAAGTGGGAAAGAAAACTTGCCAAAGGCAAGAACGTAAACTTCCGGTCTGCGTCTGTTCCTGCCTCAAAATCGTCTTTGATTAACAACAATGCCGGGGTAATTTTGTGTGGTCGAAACTGAACGATGAATTTAAAAGAAAGTATTGAACCCGAGATTTCGCTACACCATAAATTGTTGAGTCTTCTGTATTCTTTCCATATAAATCTAACAAATACGATTCGAAGTTTCCTACGGCGCAAGAAAGAGAGGGAAATATGCCATTTTTAATCTAATTGCTGTATTCGCTGATGTTGCACTCTTTGTATGATGTCATGCCGTGTCACTTTCGATTTCAATATATTTTGAAGGAACGCTTTGGAGAGGCTTCCCTTGCTGTACTAACACATACATGCTGCATTCGCCTTTCCCATCAAACAGGGTAAATTTTCTTCCTTTTATCATGTCAGGTTTTAGTTGCAATTTGTAGATTGTAATTTTGTTTTGTCGTACTCGATGTAAGTCTAAGGTCAACATCAAACTTTAGGCGAACAATTTTTGGTCAAATAAACATCCTTTCATGTAACGTCATCAGTTTCTAAAATCCAAATCTAAAGAGCCACCGAAGTTTTTATCCTCATCAGGCATAAGAGGCGGTAAATTATGATCTGTTGTCAAATAAACATCCTTTCATGTAACGTCATCAGTTTCTAAAATCCAAATCTAAAGAGCCACCGAAGTTTNCACCATAAATTGTTGAGTCTTCTGTATTCTTTCCTTATAAATCTAACAAATACGATTCGAAGTTTCCTACGGCGCAAGAAAGAGAGGGAAATATGCCATTTTTAATCTAATTGCTGTATTTGCTGATGTTGCACTCTTTGTATGATGTCATGCCGTGTTACTTTCGGTTTCAATATATTTTGAAGGAACGCTTTGGAAAGGCTTCCCTTGCTGTACTAAAAAATACACGCTGCATTTCGCTTGTCCCGTCAAACAAGGTAAGTTCTCTTCCCTTTATCATATCAGGTTTTAGTTGCAATTTGTAGATTGTGATTTTGTTTTGTCGTACTCGGTGCAAGGCTTAGGTTAACGCCAAACGTTAGGCGAACAATTTTTGGTGAGATAAAGATCTTTCCAGGTATCGTCATCATTTTCTAAAATCCAAAACTAAAGAGCCACCGAAGTTTTTATCCTCATCAGGCATAGGAGGCGGTGAATTAAGACCTGTTTACAATTTTACAGCTCAATTGTGTCCTTTGTTTGGAAACCAACGCATTTTGAATTTCAGAGCCGAGTTATGGCGATGCGTCACAACGCTACGATCGCGTTTGTCGAAAAATATATACTTCTCTCATGAATTTTAGCCATTTTAGAAGTTAGAGCAGTAGGAAAAGTGCTCATGTGAAAGCTTAGTTGTTCAGTACAGATGATCAGTCGCCTAGATAGCCAAAGTAAGCTCCAGATGGTTACACTATTTTCTGGCCGCCATATTGGAGTACCGCGGAGGCCTAGTACACACCAACATAGCGTTTCCATACTGGGCTCTCTAAATTTCTGCGAAACATTTCGACGAATATCTGAATTTTGGGAAAACGCAGAGACCTAAAAGTTGGAGAAATGTCGTCTTACTTATTTCCTATAGCATCACAAGTTTTTAAGAGTGTGTCCATGAAAAAACCAGGCAGGATGTGATACAGTTCAAATCACCGATTTCGCTCAAACTTGGCACAAATGTTGGGTTTGGCGAGTAAATGATTATGGCAAAAACTTAGGTCAAAATATTTTATACCCTTCAAGTTAGGAGGACCTCCGCTGAAAATAGTCAATAATTTATGCATATTTAATTAGCTGTCTTTGATTTAGTATTTCTACAACAAGAAAGGCCATGTGAAAATGAAATCCACTGGCTCATGTTCTCTTGTTATCAGTCTCAAAGCAGAGATATTCATTTGAACTAGACAATTTGAGTTTTCTCCGTGGCCCCGTCTTAAGTAAAGTGCATATTTCCTAGTGTTGTGAATAGCCTTTAATTAATGGCAAATATCTGAAGAGGTTAACAGCAAATACACATTATTCTAACATTGATAGTGAGAGATTTTATTGAACTTCTCAAAAAAGCCATAAAATGTTTGGGGACTTCAATATTTT